TTCCATTTGCTGAATCCACCAACTCATCCCACAACTCCCCCCACCCTCTAATATGATCGAACCCTGCACCCACTTCTCCTTCTTCCTCAGCCTAAACCAGTCCAACCTACTGTTTCACACAACTGTCCCCAACAGTTCGTCCAACAACACTACAGAACCACCTACTGTCTCCTCCAACTGTCCCAACAGTTCGTCCGACAGTCCTCCCTCAACTCCACCCATGCCCCTCAACCTGGCCGAACCTCCACACCCAGCAGAACCACAGCCTCCCCCTCCCGCTTCCTCACCCCCACCCAACCATCCTATGCTGACACGCAGCAAGGCCGGTATTCACAAGCCCAAAATCCCTTTTTCTCTTACCGTGTCTACCTCATCCCCAACTCCCACTACATATCGCCATGCCCTCCTTGATCCAAACGGGCGTATGGCCATGCTTGAGGAATATACTGCTTTGATTAAAAATAACACATGGGATATTGTGCCCCACCCCCTTTCTACTAATGTTATCAGTGGCAAGTGGTTATATAAGCAGAAATTCAAGGCTGATGGTTCATTGGAACGGTATAAAGCACGATGGGTTGTTCGCAGTTTTGATCAACGCCCAGGTATTGATTTCGAAGAAACATTCAGTCCGGTGGTCAAACCAACAACTGTTCGGATAGTTCTCAGCATTGCTACCTCTCACTCTTGGCCGGTCCATCAACTCGACGTTAAGAATGCATTCCTCTACGGCAACCTCTCTGAAACAGTGTACTGCGAACAACCACCTGGCTTTGTTGACCCTACTCGTCCTACTCATGTATGTCGTCTTCGCAAGGCTCTTTATGGTCTCAAACAGACACCACGTGCGTGGTACAAGAGATTTTCCGGCTACATCACCTCTCTTTGATTTATCGAGTGCAAATCGGACACCTCCCTCTTTGTGTATCGCACTGACTCTGCAGTTGCCTACCTCCTACTGTATGATGACGACATAGTTCTGACAGCTTCCAGCATAGCCACTCTTCAGTCCATCATTACCAAACTCCACCAAGAATTTGCTATGAAGGACCTCGGCCCCCTACACTACTTCCTTGGCATATCTGTTACACGCTCGTCCGAGGGGACACTACAACATAAAATGTCATCCATAGCGCTGAAAAAACGCTATCTTAGTCTATTATAGCGCTTTTACAAACGCTATGTCTGCCGGAGCTATAATAGACCCCGATGTTTTTATAGCGTTTTATAAACGCTATTATTTGACATCTTTTGATAGCGTTTTTGGCTTGCTATTGCCCCTTATATTATAGCAGTTTATAAACGTTATGATACAATATTATAGCATCTGATAAATGCTATGTTATTGCACTTTGTAGCGATTTTTGTTTGTCATTGATTGACCGGTCATTGCAATCTTAAAACACTATATTAAAGTTAATTAATCGTAGCACTCTATTTGTCCAATTGTTCCACCATCTTACCATGAAAACCATTTTAATTTGTTTGTACTATTTATTTGTTATTGTAAAATGTTAAAATAATGTAATTCTACTTAATAACAAAAAAATTAAAGTAATTCTTTTTATTACATGATAAAGAAAATAAATTCATTCGCAAAACATATTCAATTTATTTGATGCAATAGGATTCATAAGATTACAAAAGGCCTAAACTGAGATAGTTACTTACGAAAAGAACATTACAATTTGCACCACAAGAATAACCCCAAATGAACTAGATCAACTCATCCAGTTGAGACAACGACCCCAATTCCCACTCTTGTTCTTTAGTACCTGTTCAGGAAAAATCTAAATCTTAGTAAATAGTAATAGAGTAAATTGAAGATAAATTGTCAGAAGCTTCCTAATTATGCAACCATTGTCTATTGATATTGAAAAATTGAGCAAAATAAATTATAGAATAAGTCAACAAGAATAAATTTGAGACAACGAATTGATTCAATAAAAACTTGACAAAAGAATAGCAAATATTTGGTTCAAATAGTAAATTATCAGTTCCTACTACAGGTAGGACTTCAAACGAGTCAACAACTTCATTAGACTTATATCTATAAGTTGATGCATAGATAATAGAAAATATACATAATAAGAGTAGCAAATTATAAATCTGCATCTTGTTTGCAACGACAACTTCGTCGTTGGAGTTACATCTACAAACTCGTAAATGGATAGTTGAATAATATAGAAAACAATAGTAAGAAATTATAAACTCACATCGTATTGCAATGTCATATTTCTTTCCTGCATAAAGCCTCGATGCACAGCTTGTAACGAATTCATCAGCATTCATTTTTTTATTAACTGCATACGTTAAGAAAAAAAGAGCAAACTAAAATGCGAAGAGTTATTATAATTAAGGAGCTGATGAAAAGCTAAACTTAGTTCAACTTTTCGTGCATATATAGAAACTAAAAAAATAAAGAACAATAAAAGGATTCAGAATAAAGAAACGCATGAAATAGGAAAAGGTAATAAACAGATAATCTACTTTTTTTTTTAATAGAAGTCTTCATAGACTAAAACTTTTTCAAGCTCGGGTATCCAATTTTCTTAGCTGCTCAGAAACGACCTACTGAATCTCTCATGTCATTGCCACACCATTAGAATCACCTTATCAACAAAACCAATTCCCTAAAGCATATAAAGAAAAATAGTGGTTAATAGCATTGAAAATGAACCTATGTTTTATATGCCTGTATTAAAGTTGCTAAATGAAAATGCATAGTGGAAGATTATAAATATCATAGAGAGCATAGAGTAAACTGTCAATTTTCCCACTTGAAGAGATTAAATTCCTATAATATTATCACTGTCAAAAAAATAAAATTATAAAACAATTCCCACATACAACACAATTCCCACCCAAAAAGAATTCCATGTCTCTGAGTTATACCTATGAGTTTAACAAAAAGCGAATTGAAAATTGATCATAAAACCTAAAAGGTTACACTTATTAACGGTTTAAAAATCTCAAGCACATCTACGAAAAACAGAACATAGGCCAATAAGTTAAATAAATAGATGTATGCACCAATAACGTAACTTAAAGGAAAATTACAATTCTTAATTTCATAATACATATGACTTTATATAATACTTGAGTATATTAATTAACATGATTTCTCTCTGAAACAGGAAATGAAATAACATCCAAGCCAACTAACAGGAATTTCAACAGGAAAAAAAACTATCAATGTACAAATGAATACATTTTATATTAAATATTGCCAACTCTAGCACATCGTGAACAAATTTTTGTTTCCAGTACAATAAGAATTTTAGGGATTTTACTCAGATTATATTGAAATTAATTTCTTTCAAAAAAACCTAGAGCAATCTTAATCCAAACTTGTGGTGGTAAAATCCCCATAGGAATTAGGGCTTTTTCCTAATTAATTGGGATTAAGAGATATAGAAATAAAGAGAGTCGGAATTACATACTATGGCTGGAAAATGAATAGATGGCATCGACAAATCAACCGTGCAGAGAGATAGAGACATATGCCGATGTCTGGTCTGTTTGGAAAAGTCGGATAGACAGTTCCACGCCGCTGAAAAAGAACGGATTTTGATTGACATACTAAAACTGGAACAAAGAGATTAAAGGCAAGACGTGCCGGCAGATCGACGACGACTGATGTTGGAGAACGGAGAGAGATGTCGTTCCGTACACTGAAGTTTTTTTTTCTTAATGAATGAAGTCTAAATAAAAGAGGCGAGTGAGAGTTGTACTTTGTTTTCTTAAAGCCTATTATATTTCAAAGTAGCGCCTAAACAAAAAAATTGGTCAGCCGTGTTATAGCGTTTTTTGATTATTTTAAGCTAATAATAGCATTTATTGAAAAAACGCTATAAAACTCTGCTATTAAAGCCCAATATTCTTGTAGTGGGATGTTCCTCTCTCAACGTAAATATGCCGAGGAGATCCTTGAACGTGCTAAGATGACTTCATGCAACCCATGCCTCACCCCAGCGGATACCAAAACAAAGCTTTCTGCCAACTCTGGCCCCTCTGTCGCCGACCCTTCTCTCTACCGAAGTCTTGCCGGCGCTCTTCAATATCTCACTTTCACACGACCAGACATCTCCTATGCCGTGCAACAAATTTGTCTTTTCATGCATGATCCAAAGGAAGCTCACATGGCAGCCCTCAAAAGAATCTTACGATATCTTCGCGGCACTCTTGACTACACGCTTCACTTCTACCGCTCTAGAGACATGTCTCTTATTGCGTACTCTGATGCCGATTGGGGTGGATGGCCTGACACTCGCCGATCCACTTCGGGCTATTGTGTCTTTCTAGGCGACAACCTTATCTCTTTCTCCTCTAAACGGCAAGTGACAATTTCTCACTCAAGTGCGGAGGCCGAATACCGGGCTGTAGCTAATGCCGTTGCTGAAACGACATGGGTGCGTAACCTCCTGACCGAACTACTATGTCCACCGACGAAAGCAACGATTGTCTGTTGCGACAATATCAGTGCTGTCTACCTATCCAGCAACCCGGTTCAACATGCGCGCACCAAACACGTGGAACTTGACATACACTTCGTCCGGGACAAAGTTGCCTTGGGACACATTCGTGTCCTCCACGTCCCGTCCACACATCAGTTCGCTGACGTCTTCACCAAAGGACTTCCGGCCCCTCTCTTTCGAGAATTCGTCTCCAGTCTGCACGTTCGCCCATCTCCCATTTCGACTGCGGGGGAATATTAGCCGTATCTTTATATATATTAGCCGTATCTTTATGTATCTTTATTAATATATATATTATAGATAAATCTTGTATTATTGGTATGTATATCTCCTAGTTCTCTTGTGTAAAGGGTTAGGGTTTTCACACAAGTAATATATATATCACAATAAACGTGAGAGATCATTACTCTCTCTTCTCTCCAAATATTCACCTTCTATCACTTTGAGGGAAATTTATTTACTTGATGTAACAATCAAAGGGGAGACATAGAATATCACAATGTATTGATCATGTCTTGTTGAACGTTGATGATGTTGCATATGTTAGTTCGATCAAGGTTAAACTTCTGGACAAGATTGAGACTGATCATGTTCATTTACTCACTAGCTTCAGTCAGATGCACCCTAGGAATATCAGGGGGTTTTTCAAAGGTTGTGGGTTGATCATCAGAATTTTGATCACTTTATTAAGAATAATTGGCAGTTTGTCCCAACAATTAGTGCAAATACTTTCGAGCATGAACTTGCTTATCTCAGAAAAGTGCGTATACAATGGAATTGAGACAAATTCGGGAGAGCTGAGAACTGTTGAAATATTAATGTACTTTCTAGAAGTGTATCCACATGTATGTATAATGTATAATAGGATACACGAATAAACAAATACATGAATAGTTAGATACATGTTTATCTAATATTCATGATAAATCTTATTCAATGTAATACATGCACCTCATACGCCTAGACTAGTATAAATAGGTGCAGTCTTTTACCAGTTGCATCCGTCGAAATATGTCTGACTTGATTGAGTGAGCTGATATCTCTTTTGCAACCACAACCCTATCCACAGTAAGAAGATCTGAACTCGAGTTGACTGATCCGGGTGTATCCATTGTAAAGTTACAGTAGTGAAATAAGTTCACTATCCCAAAATCTCAAACAAACAATTAGAAAGAATGAGACAACTTCTAGATAATGGAAAGAGCAACTATTAATTATGTTTATGGATACAACTGTAGAGTAGCATTCTTGTCATTCACTTACAAACACAGACAACTCTTCTAATTCTGAATAATAGAAGACTCTAGCATCTGTCTAGAAAGCTACAGAGGTAAACCGAAGAGACACCTAAAACACTGTGCAAGACTTTAATTAATATTTAATTTTCAAAAATTCAGATTTAATCACTTTTAATACTCCCCAATACTCCCCTTAAAGCAATCTTTTTGAAGGTAAACCGAGCTTAGCTCGTAACTTCTCGAATGGTCCTTTTGATAGAGATTTGGAGAATATTTTGACAATATTTTCACTGCTGCAAACTTCAAGTGCCGAGATAAATCCATCAAGAATCTTTTCTTGAATAGGGTGATGCTCCAACTCAATATTTGGTTCTTTCAATATTGCAAGTTTTATGGCAATTGAATTATCTTCGTATAGTGGTGTTTGTCTGACAATAGGATAATGGAAATCTTCCAAAAGTCTTCGAAGCCAAACATATTATTGGGCAGCCAAAGATAAAGCCTTGTACTCTGCCTCGATCGTCGAAAGTGAAGCACTATTTTTTTTTTTTTTTTTTTGCTGCACCATGAAACACTTGCTGGACCACAATGGAAAACATACCCAAATGTAGACCTTCGATTGTCCAAATTACCTCCCAAGTCCGCATCCGTAAATCCAGTCAAGGAAAAATATGCTACTGTCTCACAAACTAGCGCCATATGTGTTGTATTCTAAACATATTTAAGTATTCTCTTTCCAAATACAACTTCCTTGGAGATTGCACGAATCTATTTATGAGCCCCACGGAAAATGCGATGTCTGGCCTTGTAGTAATGGTTAAGTAAAGAGTACTTCCCACGAGAGCGCGGTAAGGCTGGGCATCCGATAAAAGAGAACATTCTTCTTGTGTCAACTTCACATTAACCTCAAGTGGAGTTGCTAATTTCTTGCTATAGGTGGACAAAAATCTGCCAACAAGTTTCTTTGCATAGTTTTTTTAGTCGGGGTGATACCTTCTTTGAAATTCTCCACTTCCAGACCAAGAAAATGATTTAGCTCCCCCTAGTTTTTCATATCAAAATGGATTGAAAGATGTTCTTGTAATTTTGCGACTTCATGTTCATCATTTCATGTTACAATCATGTTCTCTACATATAAATGAACAACTATATGTAGATTCCCGCCCTTTTGACGAACAAACTTTGATCGGAATTGGAAGCAAAATATCCACAAAATTGAAACAACTAAACAATTTTTCTTACCAAGCTTGCGGAGCTTGTTTCAATCCGTAAAGAGCTTTATGAAGCTAGCAAACAAAATTTAGATCTGCTCTGAGAAACAAACATACCTGGAAGGCTACTCCATATATATCCTTATCAAGATCATCATATAAAAACGCATTTTTTTACATCAAGTTGACTGAGCTTCCAATCCATGCTTGTTGCTAAAGTAATAACAACTTGAACCAAAGTCATTTTTGCTACCCGATAGTTTTCTTAGTTGGACCCATTAAGTCGGTATGAATGAGCTCTAAGGGAGCTTTTTATATAGAAAGAGAGTTATCAAACAAAAGACGATGTGCCTCACCATATTGGCATCATTCACAAAAAATTTCACCGGCAAAGTTACTCAAATTTGGTAAACCATCAAACAAATTCTTTTGCACCATTATTTTTAGTTTATTCATGTTAAGATACCTAAATCTAGAATGCCAAAGCAAGGTATTTTCGCTGGTGCTAATTTTTTTAATATACGAAGATGAAGATGATAAAACAAATAAATCATCAACTCTCTTATCAGTGTGAAGAACATCAGCTTTTAGCACCTTAATATTACGCATAAAATTTACACTATCTGGTCCAAACAAGACGTAGTTTCCAGAATCCACTACGTTGGCTACTTATAAGAGGTGTTTCTTCACCTCGGGGACATGAAACACACTGTTTAATGTGACCGAGACATCTTATTTGTTTTCTCCAATGATCACGACACCTTCATTTCGCACTGGGTGAACCGAATTATCTACCATAACAATAGCTTCGTTACTATCATAATGGCGGAATTTGGTGAACTTGGAATCATCTCTTGTTACGTGGTGGCCACAAGATGAGTCTACTATACAATCTTTCGAAAAATTGATTGAAGCCAACGCAAGGACGGGTTTTTTCTCAGCAACAAAGCATCTCGTCCAATCCTCTTCGTTTTTATGTGAATAATCTTTTTTCTCGGATTCAGCTAAGTTTCATTGATTCAACTTAGCACGGCAATATTTCCTTATGTGCCCCTTTCTGCCGCATCGATGACATTTGATTTGAATTTTATTATTTTTGGAAGAGGTATTTTTGGCACTAGATTTCCAATTATTGAAGATCGAGGAAATCCGCTAAGTTTTTGGAATTAAAAGATTGGCAAAGATTTATTTTCATGATTATTTTTTGGAATTAGTTAGAGTCCTATGTTTGTTATATTCTTATTAAGACTTTGAGTTACTTTTATGTATCTTATTCTAGTTAGGTATCTTTGTACTTATCTAGAATAGAGTTAGAAATCGGCTAGGATTCTACTTACCTAGTTATACGATTTCTTAGAGATCAAGCAAGGGTTTGGGAGGCTAAGTTTGTGCCTTTATAAAGCCTCACAAGTCATTGAAGATCCATGCACTTTTATTGGAGAAAACCCTCTCATCGTATTGTTGTCGTGCTAGGGCAGGCTGTAAAGTAGTATTGTGCCCTCGTTGCAGTGTGCTAACATATCGTTGGGGTGGTCCAGGGATTGGCGACTTACCCATTCAGTGACTTTGGCACTGGACGTTCCTAAAACGGGTACTATCGGGTCGGGTCAATTCAATAATAGACGCCTTTTGGCATTCCACCCTTCCTTCTCCTTTCAGGGCCTATCCGAAAGAGAATCTAGTACTTCTTGGTCGTGAATATCTGAACTGGTTGTTCGCTGTTCAAGAATTCGTGTTTGGGCAGTTCATACCATCCATACATAATGTGTTTTGATCTAAGATTTCAATTCTTCCGTGTTTCCAGCAGTAACATATTGTTCCATGGAGCTA